GATATGTAAAGGAATAAAAATAGTTGCCAAGTGTTAAAGCGATGGTTTTTCAAGTGATTGGATGCAATAAATTTTAAAGGTAAGTGACCCAACAGAGAAGATGGTTGAATTTCATTGTAAAATTAACTTTGATTATGTAGAGTATATTTCCCAGTGGCCATATCAATATTTTAAGTAACACAATAATGGGATTCTGGATAAATATTCTTTTCATCAATATGTACTTTTAAAACAGTATTGAATGGCTGGGGGTCATATGCCTTCCATTGTCTAGGAAGATGACAGAGTTTCTACGAGATGGAAGCATTTGTCAAAAAAACCCAGGAGCTGTATGCAAGCTGGAGACCAATGAGAGTCAGCAGTTGGTAGGAAGCTCCCAATTCTGTGGCAAAGACTGGGCATATCTCCAGACCTTGGGACATCCTGATGTGCCTGGTCACCTTGTTCCTGGGAAGCAACTGCTCCTATAGTTCCTGTGCCTGGGAACTAGACTGACAGTACCTAGAGCAGATGCTGCAGGAGCTTGCAGTTTTCCTAGTGCTTCAGGAATCAGGAATTCCATCAGGCTCAGCAAATCTACTCCTTCTCTTTCTGACATCTAGTTAGGATTTCTGCAGAGTAGGTCTTTCTACAGTGGGCCCAGCAGTTCAGTGTGGTACAGAATTTGGTACCAGTTGAGTTTCGTGTCTGTATAGCCAACCCTTATTAAAAGATGCTTTGTGTTTAAGACGTTTAATTTTACTGTAGAGGACAGATTGCCTCATGACAGACCCCAGAGGAAGACAAAAGGAAATCAGGATCTTAGCTCTGATTTTGGTGGGGACCCTTGCTGGCTATGTGATCTGAGCATGATTTCTTTGTGTTTCACATTTTTTGTTTGTTTGTTTGTTTTTCCCATTACAAAATTAGGAGGTAAACTTATATGATCCAAGCTTAAAAAGGATTTCTAGATCTTCTTGATTGGGAATATATTAAGAGGATCTCACTATTTCCGGATGGCCAGCAGAGATTTAGGTCATTAAAAGGAAGGCCAGTGGCCATTTAGGCCATTCTCCCACCTCCCTTTCACCGCATCTACTCTCCAGAGTGGGAACTGCAGAGTGCTCTGTACTCCAATGGAGGGAACCCCAGAAATAGCATTTGGAACGAATGTTTTGCACCATGATTGAGAAGAATCACCTGCAGATGTGGCCCACTGTACCAAATGGTTGAAAATACAGGTGGTGCTCAACCCTCCCTGTTGCTCAACCCTCCATGATGAATCTCAAGTTTCTCAGAAAGTAAGAGCACCTTCACAGAGGTTCTTAAAGTGTGATTCACAGAGCCCTGAGGACCCCAAGACGCTTTTGGAGGTCTGAAAGGTGAAAAATATTTTCATAGTAATATTAAGACATAATTTGCTTTTTGCTGTGTGCTGACATTACTGCTGGCACTGAGCACGGGTCAAGGTAGTGGCCCTGAACTGTCAGCACTCAATGTTTCTTCACTGCCACTGACTCACAGTAGACAACAGAAAAGTTAGTTTCACACAAGAATGTCCCTGATGAAACAATAAAAATGATTAATTTTATTAAATCTCTACCTTTTAGTGCACATCTTTTTATTATTCTGTGTGACTAACTGGGAAATATGCAAAAGCACTTCTGCTGTATATGAAGTACTCTTATTGTCCCAAATGAAAGCACTTATGTGTTCTTTGAGGTGCAAGCTGGAATAGTTGCCTTTTTCTGTAATAAAACATAATTTTTACATGAAAGAACAAATGACAGACAAGTCATGGTTATTCAGACTTGGGAATGAGGCAGAAATTTTCTCAAAAATGAAGTGTGCCTGTCACTTCAAGGAAAACAGCTGATGGGTACTTTTTGACAATGATAAAATTTAAGATTTCAATAAAAAATCAGAATCTTGGACAACCTGAATGCATTCTATGAATTTGATAGCTTTGCAACACCTAAACACTCTTCAGATGAGGGTTTTCATATTGTTTAATGAACGGTCTCGGCATTTGGATGATCTGTATAATTCAATAAACCAATAATTTCCAAATGAACAATCTATGATGTTATCAAATTCCATTCAAGGTGGAAGGTAAGCAATGCATTTTAGTGTAACCCAGTACAAATCCATTGACATAGTTTCATATTCCACAGTATAATTGGCCTTTAAAAATAATCATTTGTAGAGTTGGTTGTAGTATGTGGCATGGTATTAAAGATGATTTATATTTGTTTGGAAAGGCTATTAAAATACTCTTCCCATTTCCAGTTATGTATCTGTGTGAGGTGGAATTTTCTCCCTGTACTTCAACCAAAAACATACCACAATAGACTGAAAGCAGAAACAAAGGTGAATGAGAATCTGTGAGTCTTCTATTAAGCCAGTCATTTAAAAAACTGGCAGAAATGTGAAACAATGCTTTTTTACTAACTTTCTTTTGTTATGGACAGCATAGTAATTTTTATAAAATGTTTTACTTACGTCAACTTCTAATGAGTTTATTAATAATTTACTATATATTACTTTTTAAAACTAATTAATCAATATTTTAAAATTCGTTTCAATTTTTGATATGGTGAACACACATAAACAAAAATATGTTGAAGTTCTCAGTAATTTTTAAGCAGATAAAAGGGGTTCTGGGAATAAAATGCTAGAGAATCACTGTTGTAAGATCCCTGCAGAAAAAGTGGTGTTTTGGATGACTGATTAACAAAGGAAGAGGGGGATTTGGTGTCTTTCAGTTGGCACTGGTGTGGGGAAGCTTCTCTGTGTTTGGTGACAGGATTGGTTATCAAGACAGGATCTGCAGCAACAAAAGGAAATTTACCTGCTACCTAAGACTGATAGAAATCATTTTGGGGAACAGAGATTTCAAGGTCCTGAGGTGACCTTCCCTGTTCTCTTCCAAGTGTTTCCAGTTCTCTGAATGTTCAAGTTCACGCCTTTCCCTCCAAGGAAAGGACAGTCCAGCCTACAGTCCCTGTTCAGTGCTGGCCATCTTGACTAGGTGAAGGCTAGACACTTGCTTCCCAGGACATAGTAAAGCCACTCTGAGCTCAGAAGTTGGTGCCTGGTCCTGGTCCTCATCCTGGCTGGCTTTTGTCCTGGAAGACTTCTCAGTCCGGTGGGGAAGAAAGGCTCCTGAAGAAATAACTGCAGTATGATATGATAAATGCTATTCTGTATATAGTGATGAAATTGTCCAACCAAAAATTAGGATACGATCTGACAGTATAACGTAATATCTGATAGTGGAACAATCTGGGGAAACTAGAACTTGTGTCTGCTATATTTATTAAGAAACTTCCAGCAACTCCACTGAAATTCTCTGCAGATTTGTATTTCATTTGCCCCAAAGACCCAGAAACAATGGTTTTGTACCCCATCCCCCCACCAATTCTGGGAAATGATGGTGGCAGAATAGAAAAGGGCAAAAAAAAAAAAAATCTTAGAATCACAAAGGATGAGTAATGGCCCCCTAACATTTTATTTCCTCTGGTTAGTGGATAGAGGCCTGTAGGAAATTTTTTCCAACATACTTGTTCCAAGTGGTTTTCTCCTCCAGGCAGAGAGTCCAAGTTTGTTCACACAGGTCTCCCACACCAGCTGAGGCACATCAGGCTGAATCCCAGAGTCAGAAGATTGAACTAGGCTTCTAGGATCCCAAGCCTCGAATGTACGTGGGTAAAATTAAACAATAGGGCTCTTGATCTGCCAAGAAATGTTGGAGTCCCCCCTGGGTGGGCTGTTTGGGGACCAGGAAGGTTCTGGTCTGGCTTGGGTCTTCTGAAGTTCCAACCATGTGCCCCTTTTCTCCCTTTTCCTCTGGGGCTTGGCTCAAATTCCTCTTTTTAATCTCTTTCTGCCATTCCCACGGGGCCTTCCCAGCTGTGGTAACTCCAAAGTGAAATGCGCAGGAACAAAACAGACAAAGAGCAGAAAAAAACCTGCTCAGTGCCACACATGGACCTTCTGCCCCCCACAGCCAGAGAGAACGGGTAAGCTCAGGCCTAAAGACAACCCAAACTGAAGGCAAGACAAAGAGCCTGGCAAACCCTTGTTTGAGACTCGGACCCACCACTTACATTTGACTCTGGGCAAATCATGACATCTCTCTGGTCCCCAGTGAGCTTAACCACAAAACCAAGTTATTTTGAGAATTAAATGACATTACATATGTGAAAATGCTTGGTACATGGTAGGTTCACTACTCATAGTTAAAACGTTTTACTTCCTTCTGTGTGATGGTTTGATTAACATCTGGACTATTCTTTGAGTGGAATGAGAACCTACACGGAATCTTTTTTGATTCACTCTTATATCTCCAGAGTTTAACAGAGTGCCTGGCACATGTTATGGTTTTAAGATTTATTTACTTATTTATCTTGCAGTACTGGGCATCATGTTGGGCATTTTTTTTTTTTTGAGACAACTGTCTCAGAAACAGGGATAGGGAAGGTCCTGATTAAGGATCTACTCCTAACTAGCAATTTTGGGGTCTCCTGATTTCTCTCATGGATTGATATTGGCTATCTAGAGCATGATGTCATGAAGAAATTGAAAGGTGGCATCTGGAACCAGTAGGGAAGAGGCTGACAGATTGCCAGCCGTCACCTGCTTGAGGATGTTGCTGATGTTGATTTGTGGAGTCAAGAGCAAGTCACTTTACCAGCTATTTTCGGCACAAAGGCCTGTTTGTAATTATGGATTATAATTGAAGACTGAGATTACCAAATGCCTGTCCTGAAGAGAAGTAGCATGACTATTAGAAAGAGTTTTTAAATCACAGATTAAAAACAGAACAATGCTATGCAAAGAAGCAAACAGCATATCACTACTCCATCTGCCTGTCTTAATGAATTTACTTACTTGAAATGCACGTTTCATGAATCAATTGATAACGGTGAGCAGAATTGACACATTTCAGCTTGTCTGTCCCACATTCAGAACTCTGACAACCTGTACTCCCTCAACCCACAAAATAGCTCTCTACTTACGAGGGTAATCCTTTGGATGTGTCTTCTCAGACCAATTTCCATAGAATGTGAGTCTGTACTTGGCAGTTCCACAGGCACAGCAGTCTAAGATTGGCTTGTCAGTCACCCCATCAAATGTGGAATCTGAAACAGAAAAATCCCCGAGTTAGGAAGCCAAAAAGGTCCTTCTATATGGCAGTGCCATCTTGATTTGTCTTATCTTTAACTTCTAAAAAAAGAAGATGAAGTACAGTTTTCATCGATTTGTAAGACTCAGGAACCAGGTCAGTACTTGGGCTACAAAGGATTTTTGTAGACCTCTGAGAACGAAAACTAGATTTTGAAAAAAAATAACATCAGAGCTTGTGTTTGAATAATTTTGAGGATCTCTCTGGGACCAATAGGGCAGAATCTTTGAGACAAAGGCGGGGTCTTGGAAAACTAGGGATAAAATGTACTCAGATATCCTTCCATCCCTCTTCTAATGGGATTTTCCTACCAAATTTTCAGAGGGATACACATGTGTGTTTTCTCCAAGAAATATTATCCAGGGCCAAAATGTCTAGACCTGAGGGAGAGGCTTTGAAGGACAGCAGTAACAACAAGTAGAGAGACAGAAAGAACAGCTGAAAAAAAAGTTTTTTTTTTTTTTTAAATTGCCATGTAGTCACCTCACTTCTTATCATGCTTTCAGAGACTGTACTGGGAGGGGTGGGGGTTGGAAATATGTTCACAGGTTCAGGTTTACTTCTGAGTATAGAAGCAGCCAGGAAAAACTTCAGCTTCTCTCTCCACCCCCATTTTTTAGCTGTGAATAGCTGATAAGTAGGGAAGGAGAGATTACATGAATAAATTCAGTATTTCCGATTGTCAAACCCACATTCCTAACTTTGCCTTGTTGCTTTTAGTCTGTTCTGCTTCCTACAAGATGAAAACAATGACTACAGATGCAGCTTGCTGCAATAGCTTTTTCTTTAGTTTCCCTAGCAGTATTCACATAAGTCTTTTTTTTTTTTTTGCAAGTTGGACATTTATTCTTTAATATTACACAAAGAACATCAACAAAGAGCATAAAATAATTTTCAATGTCAGAAAGAGCATTTTGCAGATCTTCCTTTGGGAATTCACTGGGTTCATTGGGTTTGAACATGCAAAATAAGTGATGGTTGATGTGAATTCTAGGTTCTAGGATGGAGAAAAAAGTATGGGATGTGGTAATAATAACTGCCGTGCATTGATTCCCTGTATATGCTGATCCCTCTCCATACGTCGTCTCATTTATTCTCATAATCTTAAGAGGTAAGTACTTTGGTTATCCCCATTTTACCAACTGGTAAACTGAGATGGATTAGGAAATGTACTCAAGATCACCCAGAGCTAGCGAGTAGTGCAGGCCCAGGTCTTTGGGGGTCCAGACCCCATTCCCTTAGTCTCTGTATTCTGTCATTCCAGGAAAGTCATCTGGATTTGTCTACATAAACAATGAGATTTAAAAAAATAATTGGGGGTTGTTTCTGTTTAGCTTTTTCCAAATGAGGAACAGTGCATTTAAAAAATTACCTCCCTCTATAGCTTCAGGATTTCCAAACAACCCCCAAAATGAGGACTGCAAAAACTCAAAGTAGAAATAATTGACTACTTTTTGTACACTTAGGAAAGGCCAGAGCATTCTCAGCACCTAGGAGCAAGTACACGCACCTCCCCACCTCCCACCATATGTGCATGGAGCCTGGATCTAATTCCTGGGTGAACCACTTTGATCTTTCAGGGACAAACCCCATAGAATATACTTCAGGAAAGGCAGCATGAACCAGTAACTCCTGAAGACTTTGTCTTCAAAGACTTTTTCATTCCCATTATGATCAACTATAGTGTAAAAAACCAAAACTAGCTTTGAGAAATGAATTCAGAACTAAGAGCTACATGCTGGGGTTTTGATTGTAGCAACCATCTATGGTTAAACAAGGCAGCAGTCATCTCTGGTGGACCTCCAATAAGGCCAGTTGGTAGCATTACCTTATCAAAAGGGCTTTCAGATTTAGGTGCTAAAGTTAAAGAGATTTCCAAGGATTTAAAGAAATGCATTTATAATGAACCTTTTGGAATTCCAAAGGAAATTTAGCCTTCATCTAAAAATTAAATTTCGAGGTTTGAAAACGAGTCTTTCCTACTGAGGAAAAACCTACTGATAATGAACCAGGCTTTCAAAGGGTGGTGAGGAGGAGCCCCAGTCTGTTCCCTGCAGGACCACAGCAGGGCTGCCAGGTGCAGGTAACTTCAGGCAGGAACAAGGCTGAGTTTCCCTTCCTCCCCACCTCTACTCTTAATCCCTTGCCTTCTCTGCATTCTTTGTTCTTCTTTCCTTTTTCTTCTTTTCCCCCATCTCTGCTCATGTGCCGCTGTCTTCTGAGTTTCTCTTTATCCTTCCCCCCCTTGGTCTCTCTCCTTGGTTTATGACATGGTGTCTGTGTGCATGTTTATTACAGGTCACCTTTTTGAATATTTTATGTTCCTCTCTTCTTAATTGTAAGTAACTTAATGTTTATGTTGCTTTTTAAAAAGTAACAATCTCTATTACTTTTTATCTGTATGGCACTTAATTCTTTCCCTATGGATTAATGGCTTCAATTGGGGGGGAAACAATGAATGACTCCAAGTTTCACGATCCCCTTTCTTGATAGATTTGATTTGACTCAACAAGGAAGCAAAGAATATACAAGACTTTAATGAAAAAGCTGGTGATAATTAAGTGATAATACATATTTTAAAAATCCCTTTGCTCTGTGCTTGCATTTTATACACTTTCTTAAGGTGTGTTGACTGATTTCTTTGTTGGCTGATTTCTTCCTGGGGCTGCTGACTCTGGGGATCATCTACAACTATATCTGATGAGTCTGTGGCCCAGGACCTTTGCCCCTACCCTTTTTTTTTCCTTTGGTCTACTATGTTGCCACTGGCTAGTGGCCCTGTATAGAGATGCATGATTAGTCATTTTGATAAGCTCTCTATCTAGGGGAAACAACTAAATATTTGCTATGCCATTTTATTGGCGTTGTATCTATAGAACTTAAGCCCATTTACACCTTAGACAAAGGTTTTACACAACATCTGAATCGAGCCTTTGGAAAGTCCCTTTAGTTAATGATTCCTTTCAGTTACATGGAGATGGGATGTCAGCGAAGTGTCTCCTCAGAACCCTGGAATCCTGGGAATAAAGCTGTCCTCTGACAGACTAACAGAACTACATGCAAAGGAGCGATCAGCCACTTATGGGGGAAGACCAAGAGGTGGCCTATGAATGTGTGATACAGAACCTCCACAACTCCACCCCTCAGTTGGACTTCCCTTCATGGCCAGGGAATCAGTAATAGGATTCACTCAGGAACCACAAGCCTTAAGAGGTGAAAAAGCTCTCTGCTTGGAGAAAGGCCGAGTGACCCTTTGGTTAGTTAAGTATAAGAAGGGAAAGTCCTCAAAGCCATGTATGGTGGTGTCCCCTGGAAACTAGCAAGGAGCCCTAATGGCAAGGTCTGACCCTGAAATGGCAGGTAGGGCAGGGCACCCTCTGACTCCACAATCCTCCACATAGAACTTGGTTGTGCTGCAGCTCATCTGTAGGGAGACAATGCATTGACCTGTCCAAGGGGATTCAAGCTACTGAAATAGGACGTATTTGCTTTGATGGGAGGGTGGTAGTTTAGGACACTTGTGTCAAACCTTTCCTCTACCTCTGTCTTTATGAGGTGAGGAGAGTCATTTAGACTGTTTCTCAGGCTCTTTAACTTTTCAATAGGAATAATATCATCATCTTTACCACATAGGGTTGTCGTGCAGATTACATGATTAATGCCTATGATATCCTCAGAATAGTGCCTGGCATATAACAAGCACTCAGAAAATATTAGCTATTATTATTATTTCCCCAGATGACCTTTATCAACCTTTCTTAGTAGCTTATGATTTGCTAGAGTTGGAAAAGATTATTTATTCTCCAAAGACCAATTGCTCCAAATGCAAATAAAAGTTCTGCAGAAATGAATAGAAATGAGATAGTTAAGCTGTATAATTATAGAACATCTTCTATTTTTATTTAGTTATCTAATGACTTCTAAACACATTCAGATGTTTAAGGTCTTATTTTTTCTTTTTTACAGTAGATTAATGAACAAACTTTTGGAATCTGCTAACTAAAGCTAACACTTATATAGACAGCATTTACTATGTGCCAAGGAGGCAAGGCACCACTTTACTTAGGTTGTCTTATTGCTAGGAAGGACAGAGACAGATTCAAACTCAGGCCTGATTTGAATCCAGGCCCCTGTTTTAACCTTCCCAGTCTTCTTAGACTCCATGAGCTTTGTCAGAATGTCTCAAAGGAGAGGGGGTTGATGAGCTTGCAAATCTAAGTCCCAGAATCTTGAATGTGATGTAAATCACAAGACCAGTGGCTCCATGGCATCCCTGTACCCTGCTGGCCTTTCCTGAGGAAAATCCCCCATATTGTCCAAACGAGTTCCTTGGGGTGATTTTTTTTCCCCAGAGAACCATTATAGACTTTTTAAAGGTACACAATTGCGCATTCCTTAATTAAGTCCTGTGAGTTATTCCAAGGAACCTCTCCAGAATAATCACTGTTTCACAAAAATAAGACGACGACACCAATACGAGGTACATTATCTCCTACCCAGGGAATCAAGCTGAGTAATTAGAGCTTAAGGCGGATCCAATTATCCACAGCACACAGCCAGATTAAAAATCGGAGCTTCATGAGAAAGTAGAACCCACGGGGACTCAGAGAGCCCGATCGCCTTAACTCCTGCAGCAGGATGCCTGAACTGAAAGAGCCCCTTCTATTTATCTGCCCCTCCCCACCTGCAAAAACTTACCTTGTTCACAAAGTTTCTTGGTGAGAGAACCTTCATCTTGAAAATAAATGATGCGTTTCTGTACGATGCTGGCCCTGTGGGAAAGAGGACATAGCACGATGGTGAGGATGGTTGCCAGGGATCAGTCAGACATGGTCCTTGTTGGGCCACCAGGGCTCTGTGGCTCTGGGCTAGTCATTCCAGGTCTCTGTGCTTCCGTTTCTTTATACAGAAATTGGCACAATTTCAAATAACTATCTCGTAGTGTTGCTGTGAGAACCATCAGAGAAGGTATGTCAAGAGCTTAGCACATGCCTAGAAGCCACTCAATATTAGTTATTGAGTTGTTGTCAGTAATATTATTATAAGGCAAGAAAGGGAACTAACAGCATTTTCAATACCTTTCTCAATGGTTCGTTTTACTCTACTCTTCATATTAAACCACTGAGGCCATTTATAGATCAACCAAATTCAAATTATAGAAGCATGTCAAATCTCTTCCTGAAGGGGAAAAAAAAGGAACTTAAAAATATATTTTGATTTGTTCTGAAAATGTCATTCTATATCTTTCCTGAAAGTCTAGACAAAACTGTCTCCTACATTCTGAACAAAGACAACTTCAGCTGTGATCTCTCTCCCTCTTAAACATGTCAAACACAGGCTCTTAGAATTTGGAAAGCATATTTTGAGGTTGAAAGACGACTTACTTTTGGTCAGCACATATTTTCTCTTTAATCTGAAATTGCAGACACTCTACTTCTTTAACTCACTCTGTTGTTTATTTTCAGCTGGCCTTGAAGAGGTTGAATCCTGAAACCCAGTGTTCCAGTAATTTGAAAGTCTACAACACTTAAAGTTGAGACGGTGCCAATAAATCTCCTGCCATTTCTATCGATTCTCTTCAGCAATGGTCCTCAATCAAAAGGTAATTTTCACTTCGATTCACCCTATTTAACAGATAAAGGCGTCCCTCAACTCCATTACAGCTGACCACACTGACTGAGTGCTGGACTCACAGGATCTGCCTTGGGTCACATGACCCCATGCCGAGGGAGAGGCTGTGTGCGTTGAAATCTGTGGAGGACAGAAGCGATTTCCCCGATGGTCTGGGCCAAGGCCAAGGCCAAGATGACTTTCCAAAGAAATGTCTCCTTGACATCCAGGCTTACACAAAAGAACACAATTCAAACCAGCCTACAGATGTCTTTTACAGTCTTTCTCCACCCAAGAGAGATGAGATGTTGAAATAAATGAATGAAATATGCTTCCTGTCTACACAAAGCTACTTTGATGATTATCCATTCTATGGACCATTAAGTGGGAAAGTTTCCTCAGACCAAGAGAATAATATTCACCCCCCACCAACACCACCACCAAGCCAAATAACAAAGCCTTTTGTTAGAGCACTGGTCATCTACCAGCCTTTCAGAGTATCCCTACCCTGTGCCCGGAAGGACCCCTGGAGGACAAGGAGCAGGCTTGGTGGGAAGTACCCCAGGCCCCACACTCTTGCTTCAACCAAAGGCACCATCCTTATTTCAACCACAGTAGTTTCCTCTCCATTTGTCTTCCTGCTGTATTTATTTATTTATCCCCCCCACCCTTTCTCTCTTTTTCTTTTTCAACATGTCATTGCTGCTTAGTGGCTGGCACTGGGGGAGGTATCAGGGACACTGTCTGAAACAAGACAGATAGGACTGCACTTCCCATTCTCAAAATTTACAGCACACTAGGGGAAAGCATCAAAGAACCAAACCTACAGTTAGTGATTTAACCCACCCGTGATGACGTGCCACACTGGAGACATTCACAAGTACAGCAGAGCTTAGCACAGGGGTCTGGCCAAGCTGGGAAAGGATCCCCCCAGAAAGGACAGCCAGGCTCAGATTTGGAAGAGTAGGAGTTACTTAGGTAAGTAGGAGGGAGAAGAAAGGCAGAGGGCATCCTTTGGAAATCCTTGAGGTGGGAAGGGGCGTGGGCTCACGGGAGAACACACGAGTGGTAAGTCAAGGAGGTGATGTGAAATGAGCTGTGGAGGTGAGCAGGGCTGTGTCAGCCAGAGCCTGCAGGGAGATGGCATTTTACTCCATGTTTAATGAGATAGCTTTCTAGAGCATACCCTGAGGACTGAGATGATCAGATTTGCTCTTTTGAAAGGGCACTTGGGCCACCAAATAAAAATGAGTTGGAGCGTGGCTGCAAGCATTCAGAGATCCCATGCAAATCGAATTCTGTTTCACTTACGTTTTCTCGCTTGAAAGTTTTGGAAACCACTGATCTAGAGGATAACATGCAAACATCTGTCATTCGAGGCTCTTTACAATTCCCCCAAACAACCTCTGTCTTCATTTGTCACCACTTTGTGCCGAGCTTGCTGGGTCCCAGGCTTTTGAGGCTCACTTTCTTGTCTGACCCTCTCTTCTGCTCTACCGGGCCCTTGCACAGCTGCTCTCTCTCCCAGAATCTCCCTTGCCAGCCTCCACTAGCATCTGTAATGGATCCTCTGAACTTTCTTCCTCCTGTTGTGAATGGGAGGACGATGGCAGTATCTATAATTTAAAGGCATGATCAGGAAAAGCAATTGCCACCACCTTTTGCAAAATAAGATTGTAAAGATTTGGGGGGACCAGAGATAGAAAACTTGTATTTCCTCTGAAATGTCTCAACTGCCTCACCCCTCAAGGTTTTATAAAATCTAAGGTAGACAATCTCTCTTTTTAATAATCACTGTCATTTTTGAGCCCTTGTTATGTGCAGTTTATACTATGGAAACACCCCCCCACCCCCACACACACCCCCATATATATATGTATCTCCTCAAATTTTTCATCCGAAATGCTTGGGCTGGATATGCTTCTGAATTCAAAATTCTTTAGATGTTAGAAAATTAAGATGGCACATATCCCATTGATGCCCCCTCCATAAGCAAACAGCAATATTTAGCAGCAAAATCTTAGATGATTCATACTGAGGGTAAATAAACCCCATAAATGGCTTCATATCAGTTAGGTAAGGTTGGGCAATATTACCAAAATGCTCTGGTTTTCAGTGGGATTTAGATAAAGTTCTGTGGCTATTCCACCCTTGTCTTCCAGGTGAGTATGAGGGAGGTACAGGGAGGTTCAGTAACTTGTCCAGGTTTGGAAGTTTCCCCTGTCTACCTGCAAAATCTGTGATCTGTCTTATTCTCACATGGGTTGGAAGGAGTTGATAACATATATACAAAGGACAATTACTCTGAGGCTTTATAGTCAACGTCACCCCACACTGAGTTTCTTTGGATTGATTTAAGCCTCTCGTGGAGCACATTGTGGAGGGCCAGGACTGTGGTGGGTCTCCTCAGAACCTGAATCGTGATCTCCTGAACATTCTATGCAAAGGCTGAGCTTGGCCAGCCCCTTATATCATGCCTTTTGGGTTTCAAACCCTGTGTGGATCAAATGGGGAAACCAGTCTTCTGTCTCTCCTATGATCTCTGCGCAATGCCTTTGGAGTGCTCATTCCAGGCACTCTCCACACCCAGCTCCACGCTCCCATACTTTCCTCCCAGGCCTTTACCTACCAGACACACACACACACACACATACACGCACACACACATATATACACATACACACACATATAGACACACACTTCAGTTACCTAATGCATACCCAAGGAAGATCTTTCTTCCTTGAGGTTGACCCTGTAACAGGTGTCCTTCCAATGACAGCCAGACCCTCTGGGCTTCTCTGAGCACAACACTTATTAACAATAACTACTTAGTATTCTGTCTCCTGTGCTAGATTCTAAGGGTGACGGTGTCATTCTAATACTGGGATTCAAGGAGGAGGAAGAGGGCTTGTGAAGAAGGAGAGCATTTGTGGCAGTAGGACATGATGGTAGTCATTTAGTGGGTAATTAGGTGTAGGGACCTGTAACTCAGGGGAGGGCTGAGGGGCCTCCACTAGCATCTGTAATGGATCCTCTGAACTTTCTTCCTCAGGGCCAAGGTGAGAGTTGAAGGATTTGGAGTGGCTGATGTCACCAGGGAAGGTGTGTAGAGTGAAATACAGGGTCCAGTTGAGCCTAGAATGTCGGGGAGGTTTGCCATTCACCTTCAGACATGCTAGCGGAGAACAAGACTTTGGAACACTTCATGGTAGAAGATGCTTCTCTTTATTCTTTGTTTGGTCACCTCCTGAGAGAATTTTGCATTCTGAGAAAATGCATTTTCCTTTGAGTTTATTCCCATTAAACGTATAAAACTCATCTGAGACTTATAAATCATACTACAGTTCAGGAAAATAATAGTTTTATAAGGCAAGAAAGCTGTTAGTAAGAATTCCCTTAGCATTTCAAAATGACAAATCTTCTCCCATTCCGTGTTGCAGTTTGGCAGTCTTTTTGCATAGCATTTATGTGCTGAATGCTCTCTTATCATGAGAGAACATGGAAGGAAATCTAAATTAAAGTTCTCGGTATGTGAGCTTCTCAAACTTCAGAATATTGAGGTTCTAAGTAACTCACTAATCATCTCAAACGTTTTCTTTTAAAAATAAAGTGGATATTTCCAAAAGTATCATCCTAAATCTTTAAATTGCTTGATGGGCCCTTTTCTGACTAATGTTGTTTTTCCTTGGGGAATTTGCCTATTGTGGTAGAGTTAAAATTTGCTAAGTTGTGGGTTTCCTGTCTAGTGTTAAAAAGGGTGGAGAGGGGAGATCTCAGACACTGAAGTACTTGGGAGAGATCAGACCATGAAATAACTTAAAAAATATGCCTGGCTCCTCAGTGGCTGGTTTATCACCATGCAAAGATGATTTGCAGAAGGTCCAACTGCAGCATGTTGAACTTAGTAGCAATTTGGTATATGGTAGCTGTTATGGTTTTGGTTGTGAAATCACCAGCCCTTGATGAAGTTCCTGGCACATAATAAGTGCTTAATAAAAGGTGGCTATCATGACTGATGTCAGGTCTGTCTCCTTCACTTAGGGAGGAAGGAATGAGGGTGCTACCTTGGCCAGCTGCTTCAGACACAGATAATAAATGAACCCTGGTTTTGTGGTCTCCAGACTACCTTTTGCCAACCTTCTTCCCAATTCCAGTAAATTCT